CCAGAAGTTATCTGTCCAGCCCCACCTGTAGCATCTGTCTCCGAACTCCCAGCTGACCCTGGGGCGTGGCTGAGTTGCTATGGAGACATACCACCTGGGCTGAGGGGCGGGGGCAGCCCCAGCTGTGGGGGAGGGGTAGGTAGGGAACAGGAAATAGGGGTCAAAGCCAGGCTGAGGGCCTGAACTGGACAAGCTGGCCCTTTCTTCCTCCCGACTGGACCTCAAAGCTTGGGCGGCTGTTTAACCCCTTCATCCCCACAGTATATCTTAAGAGCGAGAAGAAAGGGTTGAGAGAGAGCTGATTCCCTTTCAGGATGATCTAGAACAGGGGGCCCCAACCCCCGGGGCCAGTACCGGGCCTCACAGCAGGAGGTGAGCGGCGGGCGGGCCGGTCAGCCGCTCCCCACCGCTCGCATTACTGCCTGAATCACGCCCACCGCCACCCCCGGTCCGTGGAAAAACCCTCTTCCATGAAACCGGCCCCTGGTGCCAAAAAGGTTGGGGACCACTGATCTAGGAGACCAGGCCTCTGCAGGGAAGATGTGGAGAGCAGCCAGAAATTCCAAAACATATACCCCTCCTCTTGGCAGTGGTCTGGGATTCTAGAACACGGGTTGGCAGGGGGACCAAATCCAGCTAGCAGCCTGTTTTTGTATGGCCTATGAGCCAAGAATGGGTTTTACGTGTTTAAAAGGTTGGGGTGGGGCGAGGGAGGGAAGGGAAGAAAAATAAGCAACAGAGGCCATATGTCGTCAACAGACTCTAATATATTCTATCTAGCCTTTTACATAAATTGTTTATATCAATCCCTGATCCAAACTTTGACTTGTATGCTCCCTGCTGACAGGGGACTCACTAACTGTAACATGGGTAATGTCATCCTCTGAAGCCTAGAAAGCTCTTCTTTCCCCTGAGCTGAAGTCTGTGCCCTTGGGCTCTGCAGACCTACTGGGTCCCTCGGCCTGGGGCAGCCAGCAAGGTCTGAAGATAGAGCTTTACTCCCCAAGGCAAGCCTCTAGTTCCTTCAGGTTCTTTCTTGTACTATAAATTCCTAGGTTAATGCTTTGTCTTGCAGTAATTAAAAAATGGAAAACTCTGTCCTTAATGTTCCTCTCAAGGAGATGGCTTCTCTCCTCGAGAGAACAGTGATACAAGGAACAGCTTACTCCATGTGCCAGGCAGTGGGCTCCACCTCACACCCAGAGCCTCACTACAGACGCTGCCCTGACACAGAGGAAGTCAGAACTTCTGCTCTAGACAGGCAGACGTGTGGTCCTTCAGCCACAGTTACCCAGGCAGGGAAGGGAGGGGGGATGACAGACATGACACAAGCCTCTCCGCACCCTCACCCCCAGGAGAACTGCTGGGATGAGGAATAGCTCTTTACTGGAAACCATTCAGTCCAAGGGATGGCAGCTGCCCAGGGCCATCCTGCTTCTCCATGCTGGCCCCTACAGTGTCGCCAAGTGAGCCTCTGCCCTCTAGGTTCAATGAGGGGATGCTTGGACAAAGAGCTCTAATAGCCCCTCAGCTTCCAACAGCCTGATGCCATGGCTGACCAGGACCTGCCCTTTCTCCCCAGCACACGTGCACTCACACCGACCCTTGGCAGGGAGAGGGGTTGGGCATGGGCTGGGAAGGGAACAGAGACAAACGGAGTGCTGAGCCTGGTCCACTTGATGTCCAGGGCTCGACTGCCAAATCAGGGAATAATGGTGGGAATCGGAATCTGGCTTCGGTGGATGGGAGGAGTCAGGAGCAGAATCCAGGTGAGACCTAGGGCAGGTGCTGCGTGAGTAGAGAGGAGGACCGATTAGGAGGTAGGATTTTATGGACAGGACCTGGTGAGTGACTGCATGTGGGGCAGTGGCAGGATCAAGGGTAGCTCCCAGGCATGTAACCAGAATGTGAGGAAAGAGCATTGAGAAAGAAGCACGTGTGAGGCCTCGCCTCAGACATGAGCCAGGGCTGAGGAGGCCCCCAGGAAGCTCGCTGCCGAGACCGGGCCTGTGGGATCCTGTTAAGGGTGCAGAGCAGTAAGGAGGCTCTTCTGCCGTGACGGGCACCCAGCCACTGCTGGATGATGCTCAAGGCAGCGGCTGGGTGGAAGAGGTGACCCCAGAACTTCTCCCCACGCCGGGTTCTCCTGTTCTCCAGGGACCCACCGCCTTTCCTGGGCCAAGGGCCAGCTTCAACCCCACACAGGGCGTGGACCCGAGGGGAGATGACAAACAGCCCACACACCGCCCGCAGGAAAGGAAAACCACACTTAGCTTCTAACCACAGATCTCAAGCACCAGATCAAGAGGCAGGAACGCAGTGGGCAACCTCGGCTTGGCCAAGAAGTGCTGCCGGGGGTGAAGAGGATGAGCCTGGGGCCAAGGTGGACGGTGCTGGCTGCTCACCGTCCCGCAACCCCATAAAGTGGTCTAAGCAGCAGGGGGCTCAGGGCCCATAAAGGAGCCAGCCGTGGCCAGGGTTTGGCCCCTCTGACTTGTTACCACATGCAGGAGACTTAACTGGGGAGGCTCTGGTAACACCTCACTTACACATGGTTCCTCAACATCTCCAGCCAGATCCCAAAGGAGAGGGTTAAAGACCTCAGCCTCACACCCTTAAACCCATTTAGGTAGTAAGCACTTACTGCCTAAATACTACACGTATTGGCTCTGCGTACAATTCAGACAAGTTCCATTAGCCGACTTGGGAAATTTTAAAACGAGATGTGGAGAGCTCTGTGAGACAAGCATCTGAAACACAGCTGGTAGGGGGTGAGCCTGAGAACTACAGCATGCGAAAGTTAAGTGTCATCTGGGGCAAACACCTCTCCTTGCCCCTGCAGAGAGCCCCAAGGACATCAGTGCCCCGGAGCCCTGCTTGTAGGTCTGGTTGCTCAGGGCGGCAGAGTGTGAGGGACAGGAGGGAGAAAGATTTCCAGCCAGATGATGGGCCCTCCAAGGGGTGAGGGCCATCTATCTGGGCAGTTCCCTTATCCAGGACAGCTTGCTCTCTGCAGAGCCTGATAAGTGGAGCATTACTGTTCCCAACCAGTCCTCCTCTGGGGTTGGTTTTGTCCCTTGAAGAACACAAGCACTTTGTGTTTGTTTTGTTGAAATCTGCCTTCTCTGCCCCTGGCAGAAGCAAGGGCTGCTAGGAGGGAAGCCTAAGGTCCTCTCATTGTTCCTCCATTCACTTGCTAGACAGCCCTGCACCAGCTCTGGGACAGGCCCTGGGGTGAATCCACTGGGGTCCCTGCCCTCAGGGAGGACAGACTCTTGGGACCCTCTGAGCTGGGTCTCAAAAGGTTTCAGCGTGGTAAGGCAGGTGGGCCCTCCAGGAGGAGTAACCGTGGAACTGGGGGAAAGGGTGCATAGGGCAAAAGTAGAGATGCTGGGAGGTGGGGAGGTGGGACTGATATCTGGCAGGAGCCTTGACTTTGAATTATGGGACACAGGCTCTGTTAGCCTTTGTCAGTGGCCTGCACTGCCCCTGGGTCAGTACCGGAACGTGGTGGGGTCCCTTAGCTCAGTGGTGGTACCAAGCACCGTGTGAGCACTGCCAAGGGTGTTTCATTAACTTCCCGCAACACTATGAAGTTGATATTGCTAATGTCATTCGAGATAAAATCATTTGCCTTCGGTCACACTGGAGGTGAGTGGTAGAGCTGAGTCTGAACTTGGCTGCGTCCAGGTTCCTCACCCCTGAGCTGTCCAGCTTCCCTGGGACAGACAAGTAGATAACTCAGTGGGCATTCA